GACGACCGAGTTTACATTACCCCAAATGGCCCTGCCGAGCAGAAAATCCTGGAGTATAAGTTTGCCAAGATCCTCGGACTCTTTTTGGAAAACAAATGTCTTGAGTTGAAAGCAGCATGTCCCCGAAACCCTACACCCACATATTCGCAAAGGCTAGTCCGACTTCGTGGTTGATGTTTTGTTTTCAGCCTTGGTGGTGACCAGGCTATGCGAGGGCAAGTTCCGAACTGGCGCGCAGGTGCAGGCGCAGGGGCGTAAGCTCCTCGTGCCCCGCTGTGCCGAGATGTCCGATGTAGCCTGGTTTGACTTTTCGGACTTATGCAACAAGGCTCCTAGGTGGCACTTTGGGAAGCAAACAAATTCCGTTATGGTTCATTCATTTATACTTTTAAGGGCCCCAAAACTACAACCCAGGCTCTCGGGGCAGCAGACTACCTCGCCATCGGGCGCGCTTTCCATACAGTGTTCTTGGCAAACATCCCGAGACTCACCATGCAAGAGCGCGATCAAGTGCGACGCTTCATCACCCTCATCGACTCTCTTTATGAGTGTCATACCAAAGTGGTCTGCACAGCAGAGCTCGATCCGATCCCTTTGTTCTACGTCTCTGAGGAGGAGCGAAACATGTCAATTGCAGATGAGATTTTCGCCTGGGATCGGACCGCTTCTCGCTGGATTTTGGCAGCTCTTTGCGTTTGTCTGCGTGTTTTCGGCTCGCTCTCGGTCACTCACTCACTCACTCACTCGCTCACTCACTCACTCACTCACTCACTCACTCACTCACTCACTCACTCACTCTCTCTCTCTCTCTCTCTTCCCCTCGGTCGCTTACTCTGTGTCCATCCTTCTTCGAATATTGTCTTTCTGTGGAAACTTTCGCAAGACGCTGCGGAAGCTAGGCCAGGAGCAGATTCTTTCTAACTGCCCCCGAACCTTAGAAGCAACGTATCGGCTCAGGCCAGTCGCCTTATGGAGATGCGCTCTTCGGGATACATCCGATGAGGGACTGTCTTGGACAAAAGTGCGGGCAGGGTAGCACGCAGGGTTGCGCTCTCTTAGACTACCTCTGGAGCTGTTCACGGTCTTGCTACTTCGCGCCTCCGAGCCATGGGATCGCAGCCATGCCAGTGATGATGTGTAGCGGATGCTGAGATTTTGATAGGTGCGACGGGGATGATGACGATTTTTCGACAACAACGAGGCTATAGTGACGATGCTGAAGGTGGTGATGTTGCTACTAGTAGCGTACAGTGTTGCTCATGCCGCTGCTGTTGCTGCGGCTGATGCTGCTATGTTGATGGTGATGTTGGTGAGAATGAATGCGGAGGATGTAGGGTGTGGATGCTAATGCTGATGCTGGTGGCGGTGATGATGATGATGGCATGGTCATCATTGATGTTGTCACTGTCGATGTTGATCGTGACGAGGGTGTTGATGGCAAGATGTTGTTGCCCGCCCAGATCTTGCTAATGCTCGACTGAGTTCATTGGAAATTGTGATCTCAATCGCCATGTCCGTTGTGATCATCTTGTTCATGACAGCCAATGCTATCCGCATGATTTGCCATGATGCTTGTGTAAATGGTTCTGATGACAGTGCTGGTGGTACTTGCTGTGCGTGGCGGGTGTGACGCTCTTATGCTGACCGTTCTCAACCATACTCTTCTTCAGGCGCTCGAGGAGCTTATCCTGGACTCCAATGACCTAGTGCAATTCATGCAATGGCACTGTGGCTGGAATGATGCAGTGTTTTTGTTCTATTGTTTTTCAACCTGGGAGTCAACTGTGTCGTCTTCTATTGGAGGTATTTCGTTTGCTGTATACCAGGATTGCCAGTATCATCGTCGTGACTGTGCACGTTCGACATCATCCTTTGGGCTGTTCCGTCAGTAGCGTGCAGCCAAGGCGATCGTTGGATGCTGTCCCGCACCTGCGCAAGCTGTCTTTGATGTCCAACCGGGTCAAGCGCTTGAAGGAGCCATGACATCAGGCTTTCGGCATGCTGTCAGTGCACCCATGCCAAAGCCTGCAAGCGTGATCCTGGCCCAACGTTGCCTTGTAATCATAAACGCGCAAGATGTAGTGCAAGATGTGGTAGTTGAGACCGCCGCAACTGCTGCTGAAGAGCAGAATGGATACGGCAGGATCGCTGGCTGCCGAGTTTGAGCTGCAATTCTGCCAGGATGATGCACCGGATACGGCCAGCGGGACGACGCTGTGCTACTTCCCCTATCTGGAGGAGCCCCGTCCTGAGATGTTGAAAAGCCCCGCGGAGCTTGCATAGCCAATAATCTTGGCTTTTTTCGGACGTGGTAGGGTATCCCACATCGAACGGCCGATCCCCAAGAAAGTTTTGGTAACGCGAGGCAGCAACCTGCGAGGGCTATCTAGAGCCTAGACCGTTTGGGTGACATTATCTGCTTCTGCCAAGGTTGGACCTGTCTTCAAACGAAATTACGGGCAGCGGGCTGAGCTCATCGTTTCGCATGTTGAGGATACACTGGTCGCAGCACTTCTTCACTTTTCCGAGCACAGAAGAGCAGCAAAGCAAGCGGACTCAGGTGTGTCAAGCCTCCCAGTCATCCAGCTATTTCAGAGCTTGTGCGCATCTCAGTCGCTTGTAGCACAATGCTGGGTCGTAAGCCTCGAAGCCCTAGTAGTGTAGTGTCCTCGTTCCGAACCGAGGAGAGTGCTGCGACTCAGCGACAACCCATGTACACGTGGCGGCAGCGCGACCGTTCCTTCGATTCCAAATGTCGCCATCGTCAGCGAGGACCCCTTACCTTGCACCACGTAGAGCTGCAATAAGGATGTGCAGTTGGACCTGAAAAAGAGGACATCAAGCCCTTCTACATGAAAGGAAATGGCTGCTTTGCCAAGGTCTCGTTGCAGTGCAGAGCGGTAGCACACCTCAAGTTAGACTCCAGTTGCTCTCCAAAGTCTGCTCGCTTGATCGGGTGGAGGCTGAGAAGATTCCCGGTGTAAAGTTGAAGATGAACAGCCGAGCTCTTATCTTCAACACCAACAGCCTTTCGCTGCATCGCCTAGGCCTCGGAGTGCCAAAGTGGGATGCCTGATAAGGCCGCAAAATGAAGAAAGTCCGGGATGTCCGCACTTCCGGTCCCTTCAGCCGGCCGAGAAGCATGCCCCAAGCTCAGACGTCGGGTCCCACCATGTCAGAAGAGTCATGTAGAACGGATGTACTATATGACTATATGACTATACGTGTACGTATCTAAATATAAATGTAATTATAAATCCATACATGTGTGCGTATATTATATATATATACATACACATATTTATGTATGTATGTTTCTATGGACAGTTGATGCCTATGCTTCTGTATATGTATATTCGACGAGATGGCAGACTAAGGTCCCAGCTGGGCGAGCTCGACGAGGAGGCCAATGCCTTGGTGGTTCAGTGGTCAGGCCTCGCCCTCGGCTGCAGCACCCGTAGAGTGTCCATATGATACCCAAAGGATACCCCTATGATGCCCATATGATCGCACATGATACCCATGTAGCACCCTTGCCATACCCTTGCTGTCTCTGGCTAACCACTTCAGCGATGCAGTGGTGATGCAGTGATGCAGATCTGGTAGTGACACTCTGAGGGCCCAGAGCTCCGAGCTTTCTTCAGGTGCAATGGCCATGAACGTCAGCGAGCTCAGAGTCTGGTGGGCAGAGTGAGACACTCGGGATTCGGAGAGAGACCTCCCAGGCACGTGCCGCGTCCGCCCCCGCAACGACGGCCCCGGTGGCAGAACACTTGGGAGCCTGGCCTTATGTTTTTTGAGAGTTGACCGCAATCAACTGATTTGGGTGCCTGGACCGGTGTGAAAGAATCCACAACATAGGACAGCTGATTGTGGACAAGATTTGAGGCCTAGGGCAGAGTTCAGATTGTGTGCCGATCTTCGAAGCCTGCAGCGGTGTGAAGGCAGCTTGTTGAGAGAAGTGTTGCTGTTCAAGTGATTCCGACGGTTTGATCACTGCCAGACTTCCACTGCTGAGGCATCTCCGACGGCTGACTGGCTGCACTGGGCTTCGGCTTCGGATTACTATTCATCACAAGACTGTATTCGATTTGGTTTGCAGCATTTTCCTCAAAAAGAGGTCGGAGACCGCGCTTAGTGAGCTTCCAGTGAAACATTCCGTTCAGGGCATGGGTCAAAAGTCATGTCCACCGTCCCTGCTCAGGCATCCTCAGTGACGACCTGACCGAGGAAGAGCTGGATCAGATCTTCCGGGAGAGGAAGCAGACCATAGAAAACAGGCCACGCTGCCAGCGACCATAGGTTTACTATTATCATAATTATCACGATGGTGATTGTTGGTATCACTAGTAGTATTCATATTGTTAATGAGATGTGGGTGCCTGCAGTCGATTGTGGCAGCCTACCCTCACCCCGATAATAATAATAATTATTATTATTCGTATTCTTACAAGTGTGATTATGTTTCTGACTATTATCATTAGTATCTTTTATTAGTATTACTATTATTTCCATCGTCATTATTGCTTTTACTACTATTATCATACTTAGCTTTATGATTATTCTTAGTAATATTGTTGTGTAGCTATTAATAATACTGAATTAGTAACATTGTTAATGCTGTTATCCTTCTTGAATCGCCTGGAGGTTCGAGGAGCCCGTGGAGGAGCCTTTCTCCTTCATGAAGGAGCCCGAGGACGCTGCCACCAAGGACAGGAGTGTTTTTTGTTTTTGTGTTTTGGGGTTAGGGTTTAGGGCCTTCAGGGTTTGGGAGGTCCAGGCCAGGGAGGCTTAGGGCTGAGAGAGGGGCTTCCGCCGGCCGGGGCTCTTCAAGGAAGGCGGAGATCTGAACTTCGACAGATGTGGCTGTCTCGTTGCTGGCGTTGGCCTTTGAGAGGAGAAGCTGGCGCAGCTTATGAAGCAAATGCGGCAGCAGGAAGAAGAGCAGCAGGGGCCCCAGCCAGCTCCTTATGCTTGGCTCAGCTTCTCCCGGTTGGCAGCCCAGGTCCGGCGCGAGCCCAGGCGCGAGCCAAACTCCCAAGGCACTTCCGGGGGGTGGCATCTTGCTGCAGCTTGAACATCGTGATTTGGGCAGCAGTCCTTTTGACATACCTCGACAGAATCTTCTCTGAAATTGCAAGCAGTGATAAGCAAGAAGCAGCAAGTAGTAGGCTTCGCCAAACACACCTGTCTGGACAGGAGAAGCCGTCGGGTCTCTTCCTCACCGGGTTGGCAGAGGACTCTTCGAGCATGGCTTAGGGTCTGCACGCAAAGTATGTACAGTAGTTATACAAGCAGCATACAACTGATATACAATTATTAGATAATTGGTGTATTAGTATTAGCAAATGCCACTGGAACCAAAGCTCGGGAGGACGCCCCGGAGCCACCACGCCAGCCCCGGCGCAGGCGCGCAAGCGTTGAGCGTTCTGCAGGACTTAGCTTCGGATAAAGGCAATAGCAAGGTCTGGGAACCAAGCTCTAGGCTAACTACGGAACCAGAGGTTGAAGCTTGTTTTGGAGGCTGCTGCTTGTGACAGCAACGGGTGTGCCGAGGCAGCTCAGTGCCACAGCTGCTCACCCTCCTGTTTGTTGTTCTGCTCAGGGCGAAAGCAGCGAAGGAGCCCGCCGAGAAGGTCCAAGACGGAAAGAGACCGATTTCGATGTCCAGATTTGTGACCTGAGCAGTCATGCGCAGATGGCCATCTATATAGACTGCATTGGAATGGTGCGTTGTTACGGCCAAGGTCCTACCGGCGTTTTTTTTGGTCCGGTTTCCGTGTCCGGATAGGGTCCTGGAATGGCTGTTGCATGAACCAGTGAACGGGCACGACTGTTAATCTGCAGGCACCTTCATCCGCCTTCCAGGCCAGGGCCTCGAGATGGAGTCACGAGTTACCGATCGACCCAAGGATTCAAGGGTTGCCGTTGCCAGACATGTCGACAGCAGGAACTTCCCTGTCCAAAGTAGCTTGCAAAATGCCGAATATGTTTGCATGGCAGCAACCCATCACAAGATAAGATAGCTCGGAGAAGAACATCCTGAAATGGACGCGAAGTGTTCGAAGCGCTCACGCAGGCTTTCCTGGCGGACCGTGCCCAAGGGCATCTGCCGCCTCTGGTGCCAGGCGAGGGTTTCTGATGTTTGCTTGTCAAGTTCGAGGGTCTAAGTTTGTGCTTAGGGTTTGAGGGTTTGCGGTCGACGTTTGTGGTCTACGGCGCTCCTGGAGGAATCGATCAGAGAGAGCCTCAGTTTTCCCGAGACCCAAGCAGGTGTGAGATGATGGCCACAGTTGTCAATGGACG